AGCTGAGACTCATCTTTGTCTTATGACCTGGGAGGAATTTGGGTAGGAAATGGGAGAAGGGGATGATGTTTCCAGGTAGAAAGATTGAATTTAAGGTAGAGAGCAAGGATGATCTTTGGGATCTACGGAAAGAAGTATGTGTGACTTGGCTGGTAAAGAGGAGATGACCCATGGCTAGCTTTGAAACTCCGGAGTTAGAAATGTGTGTATTAAACATAAAGTCAGGAAAATAAGCTGTGCTCGTCCAGGTAGCCTAGAGAAACAAATCCATAGAAATTCCTATGTATATAAGAAAGAGGTTTATATACAAGAGCAGTTAAATATTGAGAAAACATCCCAACCCAGTCCAGATCAAGTCCATAAGTCTGGTATCTATAAAAGCCTCTTCTGACTCATGGAACACATGCAATGATGCTGAATCCAGGAAGATCACAGGCTCGTGGGTAGGAAGTCCTGTGGATCCAGTGGTGTTGTAAGCATCTCAGTGCTGGCAGGGGTCTCCACGTGGCTTCTCCCACACCCAGGACTGCATTGGGTTAGGTCCATGTGGCTTCTCCTCAGGGTTGTCTCACAGGGAGTCAGCCTTGTCAGTAGAGAGTCTCCAAGGAAATGAGCCAAGAGAGAGGCAGTGTCTCCAACCTCCAAGGAGGAAAAACAGAAGTTCTTAGAATTCTCAGGAGAAGGCCACACCCACACAGAGGCCTCGTTGGCTATATCCCGATTGACATGCTAGACTCCACCACTACACTCTTAATTGACGCCAGATTATGTAACTACCATATAAGTCCTTTCAGCAGTATTATATGGGTTAAATGGAATAAAGAATAAAGAGCACTTATCCAGGTTCTTGGCATATAACTCAGTTCACTGCCATTCAATCCATTCCAACTCACAGCCAATGGATAGGACAGAGTAGAACTGCCTCGGTGGGTTTCTGAGATGAATTCTATGCACAAGTAGGGAGCCTCATTTTTCTCTCTCATTAAATTGTAGCCCAGGAGCCTTGGCAGCATGGTGGGTTACACAATGGGTTGCTAACCACAGGTCAACAGTTCGATACCACCAGCTGGTCTCTGGGAGAAAGATGAGCTTTCTATTCCTCTTCAGAGTTACAGTCTCAAAAACACACAGGCCATTCTACCCTGTCTAATAGGGTCATTGTGAGTTGGAATTCACTCGATGGCACTGAGCTGGGTTTTTTAAAGGGAAATTGTAGCTATTATTACTACTGCTACTTTCAGTCCTACTAATAATAGTTACCTTTTTAGTCAGTTATTATTACTATTTCTAATAGCAGAGAAAGCTTTGCCTTGAATTTGAACCCACAAATGGCTCATTCTGGCTTCGTTATAGTCTATTGAATTTGCTTTTATAAGTTCACTGTAGTTTACCTGTAATCGTATTGATTAAGACAAACACCCGTGATCTCTGTACGTTAAATGAGCAGGCACCACATGTACTCCAGCAGAGAAAATGTGGTTTTAGGGTATACCCACAGACAGATATCAAAAATAATCACATGATAAAGCTTTCAGACAACTGGCTTATCTCTATTGCATTAAAAATGTGTTATTTGCAACTCTGCAGCATCCAGTTATAGCTTTTTGATTCCCCACGGAGGGCACTTCACTACAATTCAGCTGGTATGAAGACAGGCATTTCCCACAGGGATAAGCAAAGAAGTCCTAATAACTTCTGCAAGCTCCTCTATAAACTTCAAAGAATGTGAGAAGGTCTCTGTGTGTGTGTGTGTGTGATGAGAGGGGAGGTGGAGTATAAACAACCCAGAACTCAAAGGCCCTTTAGTACTTTAACACAAAAATAAATTTTACAAACACCACCACTGCCGCCAAAAAACTCCATCTAATTATAGTGCACTGTTTTTCTTCAGTGCATTTTATACCAAATATTCTTCAAACAGCTTCCCAGGGTTAAGCGGTGCAATGTGTAATTAAATAGTATGCCAGACAAAGAAAAATAGGCCAAGGTTCTAAATGCGCTGGCCGCTGATGCAGCGGGCTGAAGAGCAGGGCCTTGTACAAGGAACGGCTGCAAAGGCGCAGCGGCAAGAACCTTATGTTGGGTAGGCTAGCGGAAGGCTGGGACGTCCATTACGCATGCCCAGAGGGAGGAGTGGCCCACTGCACATGCTCTGGGGTTCAGGTTTCCCGCCCGGTACGCGTGGGTGGGCGCTGCACCTGGATTGGCCCACTTAATTTAATTCAGCCAATGGGATCGGCCAGGGGTCATCCACCACGCCTCCCCGCGTAATCATTGAAAAGGCAGGAGCCCGGAGCAGACCACATGACTTTGCGGGCAGTCTCCAGGCAGGCTGCGGGGGGCCCTGTGTTAACCTGAAACTTCTTCTAACGCTCATAAAACTCACTTGGATCACAAACCGGGCTTCGGCGTGAATTCGTTCTCGCGCGGAGCCAAGGACCAAGGTATACTGTTTCTTCTCTGAGAGATCTTACCCTTCCTCCACAGGTGGGGGCAACATCCGGCCTGAGGGCCGAATAAGGCGCTGAGACTCATCAATACCAGCCAGCACCACACGCCTCACCAAGGAGAAGCAGTTCCGGCCAGGCCATCACATTAAGGGTGACTTAATTAAATAATTGACCAACATGACCCTCAAATGATGTTATAAATATCCAAATGGCCCTTGGCAGAAAAAAAATTTCCCACCCCTGCAAACAGAGGAGAGAGAGTGGAATGTAGCAAGAAAAGTATTCTAGTCTTTGGGGAATTTTAACTCAAACACTGAATTATAAACAAAATGAAACAAAGAAACAACTAGTGGGAAACCACTACCAGTCACGTACACAGTTTGCCTTAAGGCTCATATCTGCCCCTGCAGAAGACATTTTCTGTAGGCGACCCCCTGGCTCTACCCCTGCTCATTAACCAAGGAAATGCCATTTCTCACACAAAAAGGCAGTACCTTTGTGTCAGAAACGCCAAATTAAGTTCTTAACAAAGTCTTTTAAGTATTTCTAATCCCCTTTGCCCTTAAACTCGGGAATTAATCAGTCTTTCAGCCAAGCTCCCCTGTCTTCATTCCCTGTCTCTTTCTCTCTCCTGTCTGGGCCGCCGATTCCAGACATTCCATTCTGCACTCTGTACCCCTTCACTGCATCCTCCGTCTTCACGGGGAACTTGTGGGCACAGCCCCTCTTTTACTTGGCCCCTGGTCTTTGTCGCCCGAGGCCAACACACCCCACCCCGGGCCCTCCCGAGGGCCTTTGTGCAGCCGGTGCGGGAGCTGAGATCCAGCCCCGGGCTTTGCCCTGGGGAAAGCAGGCGGTGTGCTCTGAACACAGCCCTGTTTGCTCTTCTCCCGGGCAAACAGAGCAAGGGCTTGGGCAATGCTACTTTGGACATGTTTGTTGAGGGTGTGACTATTCTAGGACAAAGTTGTCGATCCTTGCTTTTTCTTCAGAACAATTAGCTAAAGACTGCAGACACTCGACACTCAATTTGCTTTGGTTTTGTTGGTCTCTTAAGAAGCCAACTATTTACTGTAAGAAGAAAGAGCCTAACTTTGACGCCGGAGGTGGGTCTGCCCTGGGGAAGCCCCTCCATTCCTGGCTTGAAATAAAACCGTTTCTAACTTTTCGGCACCTTGGCATCCCTGGGTGTTTGCTCTCCCGTGCTTGTGCCAACTGCTCCCTTAATGGCGCCGGGTGCGGGGAGCACAGGAACCGGGGTGCAGGCGTGGTTTCCATCTCGCGGGGAGCATGAGGCAGATGCTGAGAGTGGAGGGCCTGGGTCAGGGCCACACATTCCCACGGCAGCCATGACACGCTCTGGGAAAGAAAATAATAGGTAGAAGCACTTTCCCTCTGTGACTCCAAAACATGAAGGGAAGCCTTCGCAAAACAGTGCAGTGAGGCCGACTCACTTCTTCCCAACCTGGCCCTGAACCTAAAAGCCCCATCACGCTGAGCTGCAGGGTCGAGAGAGGGAGTCGATTCCTTTCTCTCTTGGGCTTTTATCCTTTTATTGCCGCCTTTCTGGCTTTGCCCCAGAGATTTCCAATGGGTCGGACGGTTTTAGAGTCAGTATCTCCGCTGTGTTTGCATCTGAACTCTGACCCAAACGTCAGTGTTATTTTCAGCTGTTCTTTGACAGGGAATCCAACAGCTGCTGTTTAATGCCAGACAGCTTGTGACACACGCTGAGTTTCTAGCAATGGGCTCCATCTATGATCTTGGGCTCTGATCTGAAGCAGATTACAATTTTCCTACACAGTGTGTATGTGTGTGTGTGTGTGTCCTGAAGTATAATTTTAACAAAAGTTAATCCAACAAAGGCTGTGTTCTTGCTACATGGCAAAGGGTAAGAACCCTGAGTAGTTGGGAGACCGAATTTAAGAACACCACCACAAGTACAGTAGCAACAACAATGACGACGACTATTGCCTTAGAAATGCTGGTTGGGGGCTGTTGCTGTTGTTTTAAAGTCCCTGAGAAATAGGAGACTCTGGGGGAAGGTGACCACTCCCTTAAACTTCATTCGGCAAAAGGCAGCCCAGTTCAGAAAAGCAGATTTATCTAAAAGCAGATTTCAAGCAATTTTATGACTTAACCCCAAACGAATGCCAGAGATTTTTCTTTCTTTCTTAAAGTCCATCTTTGCTGGTTTTGTTTACATGAGCGAGACTTCAAAACCCTTGAAGAAACTGCTCTCTAGATCACTAACTTGCTGGGTTTAAGAGTTTGGGGTATGACTATAGTTTCAATGGTTTGGGCTGTCAGGATGTAAAAGATAATCTTTTCTCATTTCTCTCAATCATCAATGACAGGCAGAAAGCTCAAAGCTGTCCTCCACATTGAAGATAATGGCAAAAATAACAGGCAGCTTCGTGTGACCATACTAGGGGTGTGTCGACTCCCGCCGGGCTCTCCCCTCGCTCTCTCGCTCTCTCTCCCTCCTGATAAACTCAATGGGGTTGTCTATTTTTAACCTCCTGTTCTTTCCTTTTGGCAGAGCAATCAGTGCAGCTGAGCTCTTTGCCTGAATGTCTACAAGTAGCCCTGATGCTCGCCTTCTGGAATGACCAGCAGACACACATCTGCACAGGAGCTGCCCGACATAAACTCTGGTTCTAAACGACCATGTCCAGCCAAAGCCATCCTGGTGTGGAGGGTTCTACAACCACAGTCAGCTCCGTAGCTGTGCAGGCCGGGGATTCCAAAATCATTATAGCTGTCATAAAGGTAAGCCACAGCTTTCTGTTCTCGGTGGGCTTCTTGCTGGGTGTTGGAACATTCCAGGCAATCAGCATATGGAAGATATTACAGGAAGTACATAGTATTGTTTTTAAGGACTCGGCAGCGGAGACGAACCACTATTAAGTTTCAGCGGGAAGTTTCCCTTTTACCTTTCAGTTAGTCAGTGGATATGCCGAAGCTTTGGTAAAAATCACCACTGCACACTTTCAACCTGCCTTTCAAAGGCAGGGCATTTGGAAACGGAGGATCAGGAAAGGTTTAGGATTCTTGGAGGGTGGCTGTGATGGAGAGAGGTCTGGCAGATGGGGGCTGGCACTGTTCTGAGTCTGAGCAAGAGTTGGTAACACCTAGCAAAAGGCATTGCCCCTTGTCCTCTTGCAGCCCAGCCCTGCTTTGGACACGGTAAAGACTAATGAGAGGACGAAATCCTTGTCCCCAAGCTAATGGGACTACTACATCGTTGTCCCATGGCTGGCTGCGAGATACAAAGGGCAATCGCCAGATTTGCTCTGACCAGCAGGAAGCAGCCGGCACTGGGCACCTGGCATACTGCATGTTTTATGCCGAGCCATTTGCCCGTTTGCAAAGACAGCTTCACACCTTTAAGCTGAAGAAACTTTCATGATTTTAGTCCTCATCGAAATGCCCAGCCAACACTCCTAGAGCATCCACGCTGGGCTTTCGGCATTGATTTCAGCACCAGCAGAATTCAGGGTTAATGACGGGAAGCCGTGTTAACAAGCTGCTGTGCCGCAGCAGGCTTCTTTCAGGACCTCTCTCTCCAGGCTTCATAGAATGACTTTCCCCCTGACCTTTTGTTAGCACTTGGACAACAAGGGCTGTTTAATTTAACTTAATTGTCATTGATTTTATGGTAATGTGAAAATTCCTGACAGGAAAAGAAAACAGCACTTGACATTGAGCCAAGTAATTCACTACAGAAGCACAGAATGCAAAATTCTTCCTCCAGCGGCTGTTGGGACAAGGACTCCACATCAAGGAGGCCTCTACTGACCTCCTCCTCCTCCTCCTCCTCCTCCTCC